GGAGTTGGTCTCCTACTTAGCGTCCAGGCAAGTGCTGCGCTCATCAAGTGGGAGCCTGTTAATGAGAGGATAATCGTTGCCAGATTTAGAACACGGGTTCGTAACCTTACCATAATCCAATGTTATGCGCCAACCGATGCTGCCGAGCTACAGGACAAGGAGAATTTTTACAGTCAACTGAATGCCGTCGTGGATAAGGTTCCAAAGGGTGACATCAAGATCTACACTGGCGATTTCAATGCGAAGATCGGCTCCGACAACACGGACTATGAGCGTGTCATGGGACGCCATGGTCTCGGCGAAATGAGCGAGAACGGTGAGCTGTTTGCAGAATTTTGTGGCAATAACGATATGGTGATCGGGGGCTCGCTCTTCCCCCATCGGCCAGTGCACAAAGTCACGTGAGTTTTTCCGTGATGGACATACCGAAAATCAGATCGACCACATCTGCATCAGCCGAAAATGGAGACTGAGCCTTCTTGATGTCCGGAATAAACGCAGCGCCGACATCGCGTCTGACCATCACCTTCTAATCGGTGAAATCCGCCTACGCATGGCGCGGATTCAGCGACGGGAGGAGAGACTCGGGCGGCGGTTCAACACACGCCGACTTGAAGATCCAGCGGTAAAAAGGTCTTTTGTTCATGAACTTGAGACTCGAGCTGCGGACGTTCCAGAAGCTGGCAGCGTAGAAGAACAATGGACGGTCATCAAGAATGCCTTTATACAAACAAGCGAGAACAACTTGGGTGAGCTGCGCACCCAGAGGAAAGAGTGGATCACAGATGAAACCTGGCGGAAGATTGAGGAGCGTAGAGAAGCAAAAGCCGCGATAGAGCGGGCGAGAACCAGAGGAGCCAAGAACGAAGCCCGTCAACGGTACTCGGCTCTAGAGAAGGAAGTCAACCGCTCTTGCAGACGGGACAAGCGAGCGTGGGTGAACTTCCTGGCCAAAGAAGGGGAGAAAGCCGCAAACACTGGCGATATACGCCTCCTCTACGATATCTCACGACGCCTGAGTGGAGCAAGGATGAACCCGAGGATGCCAGTGAAGGACACGACTGGACAATTGCTTACCGACCCCACTGACCAGCTGAAACGCTGGTTTGAGCACTTCGAACAACTTCTTCAAGTTTCGACAGCCAACCAGCCATCAACATCTCGGAATGATCCGCCTAGGGTGCGGCGCATCACTCGCGTTAAATCCGAGGCCCCATCACTGCAGGAGATTGAAGCAGCTATCCGAAGCATGAAATCCAACAAGGCTCCAGGGGTCGATCGCATATCAGCAGAGATGCTCAAAGCTGACCCCATGCTATCCGCACAAATGTTGCATAAACTATTCTGTAATATCTGGGACACCGCGACTTTTCCGGCCGACTGGATGCAGGGCATCTTAGTGAAGGTCCCAAAGAAGGGGGATCTGACTGTATGCGACAATTGGCGAGGCATCATGTTACTGTGTATTGTTCTCAAAGTTCTGTGCAAAGTTATCCTGAATCGGATACAGGAGAAGATCGCCGCGACTCTCCGACGGCAGCAGGCAGGATTCCGTGCCGGAAGATCTTGTGTGGACCATATTGTCACGCTCCGCATCATCCTGGAGCAGGAATTGAATTCCAAGAGTCCCTTTATTTGGTATTCATTGACTACTTGACTGCTTTCGACCGTCTCAATCACGAGAATCTATGGGGCGCCCTGAGACGCAAGGGAGTCCCGGATAAAATCGTCAACCTCATCGAAGCGCAGTATGAGGCTTTCACGTGCAGAGTTCTGCATAACGGAGCCTTGTCCGACCCTATCCGGGTAGTCGCTGGTGTGAGACAAGGATGTATACTATCACCGCTACTGTTTCTCATCGTAATCGACGAGATCATGGTAGGTGCAATTGACCGTGTACCGAACCGTGGGCTGCTTTGGCAGCCTATCACCATGGAGCATCTCAACGACTTCGATTTGGCTGATGATGTTGCTCTACTAGCACAACGGCGCTCTGATATGGAGAGTAAGCTCAATGACCTAGCCGAACGCTCCTCTGCGGCGGGTCTCACCATCAACGTCAACAACACCAAATCGTTGGATATCAACACGGGCAACCCTTCCAACTTTACGGTAGCGGGGCAAGCAGTGGAGAAGGTCGAAAGTTTCCAATATCTTGGCAGCCAAATAGCGTCGGACGGCGGGACCAAGAGCGACATAGGTGCACGAATCAAGAAGGCTAGGGCTGCGTATGGAGATCCAACCAGATAAGTCAACGCACCAAAATCCGAATTTTCAACTCGAACGTGAAATCTGTGTTGTTATACGCCAGCGAGACGTGGTGTGTATCAGCGGAGAACACTCAAAAGCTGCAGGTCTTCATCAACCGATGCCTGCGGTATATAATTCGTGCCTGGTGGCCTCACAACTGGATCTCGAATGCCGAGCTCCATCGTCGATGTCATCAGAAGCCGATAGCAACAGCAATTCGAGAGCGAAAGTGGAGGTGGGTCGGCCACACACTTTGACGGGGCGGAAACGATATCTGCAAGCAAGCGCTGGATTGGAATCCAGCAGGACATCGCAGCAGAGGCAGACCCAGGGGCTCATGGCGGCGGAGCCTCAATAAGGAAATTAAGCAAGTCGATAGAAATCTGACCTGGGCCCAGGTCAAGGCAAAAGCGAGCAGCCGCCCAGGATGGAAGTCTTTCACGTTGGCCCTTTGCACCGCTGGTGGTGCACAGGACCCTTAAGTAAGTAAGTAAGTAAGTAAATGCATGTATAGCCTACGTAGCGGCCATTTGTGGACTCAACAAGGAATCACCTTAACCCGCCCAATTGTCTCCAGTGTAGGCCGATTGATACATTTGTTGCAAATTTGATGGGGATGCTGAAAGTGACCAAAAACACCGGTCAGATGCAAATGTTGTGTTATCATAATAGTGCACGAATAAAGTATGCGGGGGATGATGAGCCGGGATACTGGAAAAGACACAGAATGTCTTGAAATTTATATTAATAGTTTTTTTTATGTATTTTTTTTTTTAGTGAAAACAGTTTTTTAAACTGTTAATCCAAATCCGAAATAAACGCGATTGTTGTTGTTAAATTTCTAAATAGTCCATGCTTTATATTTTTAGCGGCAGTTTCTTACCCATGATAACTTTTTGGGTCTCTTACCCGTAATTCCAAGCTATGGTCCGATACGTACACGGAGATGAAAAACTACCCAAAATTAAGTACTTTTTAACCCAAATTTAAGTAAATTGCATATAGTAGTTTCCATTAAACAGCAGCAAAACAAAAACTTACTCTTAAGTATATTCTATTCAAAATTAAGTTTATTTCACGTAAATTTGGAAATATGCACTGAACTCAACAGTAACTTATTGGGTTGAACTATATCGTTGGGTCAAATCTCTCGTTTCTTTTTTGACAACAATAACGAGTTCAATTGAGAGGCTCAACTCAAAATAAAGTAAAAAGAACTTAATTTTTGATTAGTATTTTTTCTCCATATAGGTAGGAACTTTTCGATTACGATTGCCTAAAATTATCTATGTTTTTTATCGACAAAAATCGTTACTTTTTACTCAAAATAGGTAAAATTTAACTACTTTGACTGTATGTTTAGTATTATACTTCTGCGTGAAGTCAACGATTTACATAGTTGAAGATGCTAGTTTCGAATAACAGACTGAAGTGGTAATTTTTATACGATAGATGAGGAGGAGATGAAAGTATAGAATTGATAGTTCCGTTTAGATTACGGCAGTGTGAAAATTGCATATAGAGAGTAGATAGCGAGCTAGGACAACTTTTAACGAAGGTACAAATCGGTTTTATCATCTCTCTTTACCAAAATCCCCCTTTGGAGAGGGATGGTGAGGGGTGTCTACCCCGCCACCACTGGCAAAAAGAGATGATCGCCGACCCCTCAAGTACCAACAATGTGTTTGAAACAGTTCTACCGATTATTACCGCACTCCAGTTGTTATTCGAAGCAAGGCATCCAGTCGTAGGTTTGGAAATTGCAGCTATTGTTTACCCCTACCACGGTATGTGCTCCAGTCATCGTCGACTTGACGATCTCGAGGGGACACGGGTGGGGTAGGTGCTGCTACTGTCCCTTCGACCAATGAAAGTAATTGATGGTATGCTCCCATCCAGAGTTATGTACTTTGACTATATCTAGATAGAGCTGGAATTAGGGCGAAACAGCTTTTGTAAACAATGACTTCTATCGATGATTTCTAGAATTTCAAGGCACGCCCACGCAGACCAACATAACCATCGGATAGTGGAAGTCTTTCCCTACCCGATGAGGATGTTGGTTTGCGTGGGCGAGCCTTGAAATTCTAGAAATCATCGATAGAAGCCATTGTTTACAAAAGCTGTTAGGCCCTAATTCCAGCTCTATCTAGATATGTTTAGTATTCTTTACCGACTTTGAGGTATGTGCATCTTAGCGTGTGGGAAATGTTGTCCTTACAGTGAGAAGGTGTAACTCATTTAATTTTGATCCAATTTGATCACAACAGTTTCACCCTCCCCGTGGCTAGTTTTTGCATCTTTACGCTGGTGGGCGGTTCTGGCAGTGAAAGCACAGACAAATAGACATAACACTCGCAAGTTGTTCATCGACCAAGCATTTAACGATCAATTTAAAAGTATCGTAGTTGGTAGTACCGCCATCTGTGGCGCGCATAGTTAGTTCTCTTGCGTTTGACGTTTACACACTAACGCCATCTGTTCAGCGTACTACCCACCACAGTGTACTCAACAGATGGCGGTAATGTTTTAGCGACGATGTTTCACAGTGAGAAATATTCAATGTGTTATGTCTGTTTGTCTGTGCTTTAAAGGTCTTTTTTTAAATTGAATACTTACGTGGTGATATCGAGGTTTTTCTGTGCTTGTCTGTCATTGTTGTTGTGATGTGAAAAATTGATTAAATGGAATACATAATAAACATTACATCAGTTTTGCGGATAAAAATTAGGATAGGATTGATACGTACTGTTCTTCATTGTATGCAAAAATGATGGTGTCCGTGTCCGATTTGGGAATTGATTTTCTGCTTTGATTTGTGTCTGGATTTGAATGGGTCCTTAAAATGAAATACATAAGAGTAATCTATTTATTTATTTTTCGTCAACCAACGTAGACTAGTACATATTCGAATATAGTTTGGTTTTTTTAAATTTATTTATTTATTTCGTCAACTTTGGAAAAGAGGTTAAAAGTATAATTTTGTCTTTAATAAAAATTAAGCAGTGTCAGCTTTCCTATTTTTTTATGAGTTATAATGCCTTATGGAGTAAAAATATTGTTTTAGTTTAAAGGGTGATACGGTCAAAATTTGGTCAATATCAACTTGACGTATTTCTTTCAATTTTGCCTTTAAAAAACCTGAACACCCCTCATTTTGAAGGTGTGTGTGTGTAGAATGTTGCTCCTATTTTGATTTTGGAATTCACTCTTCAGTTGTCAAAATGCCGTCCAAGCAAGAAGAGCAGCGTATCAAAATTTTGCTCGCGCATCGCGAAAATCCGAGCTACTCGCACGCAAAGTTGGCAAAATCGCTAAAAGTTGCCAAATCAACCGTTACAAATGTAATTAAAGTGTTTGGGGAACGTTTGTCGACAGCCAGGAAGTCTGGATCGGGGGGAAATCGAAAACCGGAAGCCGCTGAGACGACAAAGAGAGTTGCCGGTAGTTTCAAGCGAAACCCTAACCTCTCTCTCCGAGATGCCGCAAATAAGCTGGGTGTATCGTCTACAACCGTGCATCGAGCCAAAAAACGAGCCGGACTATCGACTTACAAGAAGGTAGTGACTCCAAATCGCAATGATAAACAAAATACGACGGCCAAAGCGCGATCCCGGAGGCTGTACACGACGATGCTGACGAAGTTTGACTGCGTGGTAATGGACGACGAAACCTACGTCAAAGCCGACTACAAGCAGCTTCCGGGACAAGAGTTTTATACGGCAAAAGGAAGGGGAAAGGTAGCAGATGTTTTCAAGCACATGAAACTGTCAAAGTTCGCAAAGAAATATCTGGTTTGGCAAGCCATCTGTACCTGTGGCTTGAAAAGCAGCATTTTCATAGCTTCCGGGACTGTCAACCAAGAAATTTACGTGAAAGAGTGTTTGAATAAACGTATGCTGCCTTTCCTGAAGAAACACGGACAAGAACCCTCCCAACACGCCAGAGCTCCGCCCAATTGAGAAATACTGGGCTATTGTCAAGCGGAACCTAAAGAAGACCAAAAAAACTGCTAAGGGCGAGCAGCAGTTCAAGGCAAACTGGCTTTCTGCGGCGAAGAAGGTGGACAAGGTGGCTGTACAAAATCTGATGGCAGGGGTCAAGCGTAAGGCCCGGCAATTCGGATTTAGAAAAGCGGAAGCCTAACTGAATATTTTTCCTGAATTTTATACTAATTGAACTTGAAAAAGAAATTTAATTTGATTTTTTAAATAAACGATTTCACCGATTTACACGCGTTTTCCCTTGACCAAATTTTGACCGTATCACCCTTTATGCCGAGACATTGCACAGTGGGCAAAAATTGACAAAACCGCGACTAAATTGAATATCTCGGCTGCCAAACGGTTTCAGTCAACATGTTATACATATTCTTAAAGGAAAAATTCTCCTGAATCGATTGGTGGTGGTTTCATTGGCCGGAGACTGTTGCGTACCGATATGGAGGGCCGGGATCAACCCGAGTTCCCGGTAATGCAGGAAATGTCACTATCTATTGACATAATTTTAGACTTATATGACTGGAAATTGATAGTACTAAGTATATATGGTGTAAAGACACCATATAAGCCCTCAGAAAAACTCTACTGGCCTAAAGGAGGATCCGGAACGACCGATAAAGTGGCCACATTATAAAAAAATTCCTAGAACCTTGCGATTTTTTCTATGTTGTTCAGAATCAAGAGATCAGAGCGTATTTAATTTTGAATACATATTTTGGAATATGGTGGCCATTCCTGGTTCACCGGATAATCTGGATTGACCGATAAAGTGGCCACATTATAAAAATTGTGCTAGAACCTTGCGATTTTTAATATGTTGTTCAGAATCACCAATCGATTCAGGAGAGTTTTTCCTTTGAGAATATGTATTGCATGTTGACTGAAACCGCTTGGCAGCCGAGATATTCAATTTAGTCGCGGTTTTGTCTCTTTTTGACCAGTGTGCATTGTAAAGTCAATGGTTTCGCAGTATTGATTGTAAGAGGCCATCATGCGGTTTAATGGCCCATATTTTGCATAATTTGTGCGATGATGTTTTATGGCAAATAAATTTCGATTTCGGAGTTGCCGAGTAGGTGCATTAAAATTTAATTTTGATAAAAGTTCTGTGGAGTCAATGCGCTGCGAAATGATATCGTTTACAAATGAAACCTTTGCATATTCACGACGCTCTTTTAATGTTTGTATGTTTATAAGCATGCAGCGTGCTTCATATGATGGAAGAGGAAATGATGTCCAACCTAATTTACGAAGAGCGTATAATAGAAATTGTTTTTGTACGGATTCTAATCTTTCTTCGTGCGTGATTGAAAAGGAGACCATACAATGCTGCAATATTCAAGTGTTGACCTCACATAGGCAATATATAGTGTTTTAATGGTGTATGGGTCCTGAATGAATCACGTCAATGTTTCGAATCAATTCAAGTCAAACGTGAGCACGATGCACAGTGGTTCCTGACTGACCAAAACCTCAAAAATGAAAGTTGATATATTTTTATTTCAATATTTTTTTATCATTTTTACATGTTAAGAGTATCTTAAATTGAATTATTTGTGCAGTTCTGTTGATTACATATTTTGTATGATTGTTATAGTGTAGCGATTTCATAAAATTTAAAAAAAAAATCGTAATGTTTCTTGCTACTATTTTGCTCGAATATAGCAAAAAAATAAAGTGTTTATGAACTTGGTTGCTTCAGAAGAAATGTTCCTCCGCTTATTTCACGTCAAATAGTGACAGTTTTTAATAAAAAAAAATAGAAAACATATACTTTTTTCACATTTAGACTAAGCAAAACATATGACGGACACATTCGCCCACTATCCTTTAGTAACCAAAAGATAGCTAGAAAAGTTAGCTTTCAGATAGGTTTCAATGTGTTTTGCGATTTTTTGCGAAAGATGTTGAAATTAGGAATAGCAAGTAAAGTGTTCTTAGGAAAATATCCGTTTTTAAGTTATATAATCTGCGGTGTATACTGTAGCAAGCTTCACAATGCCTTTTTCAAAGCACACCAACACGCACACATATACACACATGCAGCATATATCTACCGTATGCGTGATAATGTTTGCAGCATCGTAAAAATAAGGATCCCGTTTCACCTGCACAAAAAATGCCTTGGTTTTCTTTGCATGCACGTAACCTATAGCTCATACCGTAGTAGGCTGTGTATAAAAGAAAATGATTTACTTAGTTTGACAGTTGCACCATGACGAAGTGGCAGCGTATTCGTGATTTGTCCCACGCGCAAATGTCGCAAAAAGACATTTAAATCGCCGTGGGAGTGTCCCTTCAAAAGGGTTTTATTCCGAGAAAAGAAAGGACAACTATCCGCGAAGGTGGCCACAGGTCGTCCGAGGTCAGCTCGTGTTCCGAGGGTTATCGCGGCTATCAAAAGGAAGATTCGGGTGAATCCAGTGCGTTCAATAAGGAAAATGGCAAAGGAACACGGGATCAGTGACTTTACGGCACGGAAGATCGTAAAAGAAGATTGCGGGGCAAAGTCGAGGGCACGGAAAAAACTCACATGATTACCAACCGCATCCGGGAGCTACGAGTCGAACGATGCAAGAAAATCTTGAAGTTCCTTAAGCGAAAAAATGCGGTAATCCTGTCCGACGAGAGCATGTTTACCGTCGATTCCGTATCAAATTCCAGAACCGACCGGTATATTAGTTCTCTTGTGGTAAAAGCCGTGGCCGACGAGAACAAGAACGTGTATCTGACCAAGCATCCTGCTAGCGTTATGGTGTTTGGTTTGGTGGCTTCCGATGGCAAAAAAAAATGGACCCGGTGTTTATTCCAGAAGGCGACAAGGTCAACCCAGAGGTTTACATCGGGATTTTAAGTAAATATGTTCTTCCGTGGATCAAAAAACAGTACGGTCCGAGGCCAAATGTTGTATTTCAACAAGATGGGGCTCCATGCCACACCTCAAAGGATATGTGGCCGCCATCCAGCCCCGATCTTAATCCGCTGGATTACTCAATATGGCGCTCCATGAAGGCCAAAGCCTGTTCTAAACGCCACCCGAGTACAGCAAGCCTCAGACAAACATTGACCCATACCTGGAGAGAAATGGATCCATACTACATAATTAGAATCTGCCGATATTTTCATACTAGACACTTTAAGAACTTGTTATGACGCATATTTTTGCTAAGTTGTTTTCTCTTTTATTTGAAAAGTCATGGATAGTTTTTGCTGAAAAATATGACTTTTTTTAAATTAAATTAAAGGATTTAAACAGAAATGCTCTTTCAGTATTTTTATACCAAAAATGAAGAAAAAACTATGTTTACAGTGAAATTAAATGTTTGATAATCGGTTTGCTTTATTTTGAGATATTGACAATTGAAAAGAGCCATTTTTTTTCGAAGAAAATAGCCGTTAACTTTCTAATCAAAAAAGATTTTTTTTTAATCTTTATTAAGGAGACTTGCAGCCCTAGGCTGCCTGCATAAATCACAACCAGGGCTCTACATTTTCGAAGCTCTAAAATGAACTCGAGTTTGTTTCTCTCATTCAAACGTGTTCAACGCTTCGTTTCTATAACGCCTAGCTAGACTATCAGCAAGAAATAATAATGAAAAAGAAGCACACTTAGAAGGAAACGCTGGCTGTGGATCTTCTAGTCGTTGTTTTGCTCATCGCTTTCAATGTGACTAACGTCGATTTTCTAGTTAAACGAACCTCTTTATGGCTTTCAATCCCCTTTCACGAACACTCTATCACCGCTCTTTCAAATTGTTTAAAATGCGTTATGTCCCGTTTTTGTTAATTTTTTTTAGATAAATATATGGATGGAAGATAAATTAAACATATTACGTGTAATCTTCAAGTGTTTTCACGTGAGAAATGTTTTAAATATGTAATTTCATTTTCCGTCATATATGTCATGAAACCTCTGTTGATGTGTTTCATGAAACAAGAGAACTATCAAAGTCGAGCGCTCTTTCGCTCATCCGTTTCGCCGGAGCTTGAAAGGAAGACCAATGGAACGACGGGAGAAAGAGAGATAAGCGATTGCACATTTGTTTGTGCACGCCGACTGAGGTTCTAGAATGCTGCGAAGCTGTTCAACTTTAACATAAAAAGAAAGCCAGCAGTCTCTTCGTCGTCCACAGTGTTCACTCGGCTGTCGACAAAAGCAGGCCACTCTCGATGTGTGCCACGCGATCGTCTGTTTTCTCGGCAGCAACCATTGTGTGGTCCTCCTCATTGTTCTTCATCAGCAGTTCTTTCGGTCGATGCGTCGTCGACTTTGGAAAGCAACCGTTTCGTGATGAGTGTGTGAGTGCTGACCACGTTTTGCGTCCATTGCTGCAATAGACGCGCTCTGACCCTCGTTGGCGTACAACAATTTGCCATACAATGAAACTACTGGAAGCGGCTCCAGTTCTGATGGAGAAGGCTTTTTGGATAGCGGAAGATAAAGTGTTTATTGTGTTGTACCTTTTGACTATAGTTTTAAGATGTATTGTATAGTGACCAAGAATCCTCTGCTCTGTAAAGTTAATTCGTTTGAGCCTTATCAAATAAATTAATAAACGTAGTCTCTTCGTCGTATCGATTTGGTCGATTGAAGCTGATGTTGTGACGCCCTGATCACAACCATACGATTACCATATTGAAAATGGTTTATCTTCCTGTGAAAACCATAATGAAAATGGTCAGGTCAACTTTAATCGAACCATACCTAGATAAAGTTTTGACCATATTGATTAAGGTTTTCGAAGACCCAACCATACGAACAATGGGTGGTTAAGAACGTTCACCATACGAAATCTAACTTTTTCCCATACATTTTTTGCAAAGGAACTATAGCCTAACCACATCAGAAAAGGTTCTAGTTGGATATGTGAATCCTATTCCTATTATCGTTCGAATAAGGTAGTACGGCTTAAAATCAACCATTGTTATTAACTTCAAGATATACTATGTCTGGGTAGAAATTAACATACTTATTGATGTTATAATACTGTTGTAGCATATGCGGAACACAGCAGATATGGGTTGTTCTTTAATTTTAATGTGATTTGCAAGACTTCATTTTGTGGATACCGCCCTTGCTCTCGGTATTATTTTTTATTGATTTAAAGATACATGGAATAAACAAATGTTTACCCTCTGCAAAACAAACCTCCATTCTATTACTAGTTGATAAATATGAACCCGTTTCGATTTTTTTTTTTAAAATCTCCATCGCATGTAGACCGCTGTTAGCCATCATGGCTGGGATTGTCAAATACCCTAAATATGTTTGTGGAAAATACATGCGCTTTTAAGGAATACTTTATACTGTAAGCTGATATTACTTACGTTATTATCTAAACAGGTTTTCCATTTGGAGTAAGGGTTTAAAATGCAATAACTCAGAAAAATCAATCAAATGTACTCACGACCGCCATTCCAAACAAAAGCATTTTCTTCTATTTGTCCCAAATGTAAACCCATAAAGCAACCATAAGCGAAACACGTAAGCGTTGTACAAGTTGTTTACAACTTTTATTCATAATGTTTTATGATAGTTTAATATAGTCTCGAATAGTTGATCAACCGTAACAAAATGTAGCTGGAACATACCAGAAACTGTAACAATAGAAAGTAGTGTTTCTTTTATGTTGATTACATTCCGTAAACCATAGCAAAACTATTTTGTATAAAGTTAACATAGCTTGAAAGGTGTCAGTGAAGTTTTAACTGTTCTAGAAATGGTTATTTTCTTTGCGGGTGGTTCGTCTCCGGCTCAAAAAAGATAGTAACCTAGTTACTTGAGCAAAAATATGCGCCATCAAAAGTTCTTAATGTAATCAGAACAATGTTTTTACGAGAAATTAACGCATGAAAAGATATTTTTAAACAAGCAGGCCACCCTAACCTGCTTGTTTAAAAAAAAAATCACTACTCGTGAACCATAAGAGATAGAAACGTCGTGTCTTCAACAAAGTCTCTTTGAATTGATTGTTTTACAACTGTTTACAACACTGCTTTGGTCTATCTCAAATAATAAAAAAGTTTGTATTTTTAATTCACCAATTTTATGGACCACCCTAATTTTGCAAACATAAAAAGATTGAACAGATACTCCTTTTTGGGACGTCTTGATTGTCAAGTTTTCTTCGCATAGCTTAAAAAACATCTATTTCAACTGTTTTTTTGCCTATTTGCAACAATTTTGTGGCTTTGGCCAACTTTTGTTTTAAGGGGAACCACTGTGCACTGTGCGTCACTGAGATGGTCATAATAGTGAACAATATTCGCATTGAATGTTCTTTATCTTTGTTCCAAATTCAACACTAATGCAGAGCACACTGTACGGCATTTTAATTTAAGTTTAGCAAAATAAAGAAAATAAAAATATTGGATAATTGGAATCTTCCAAGCCAAACCGAAATGTTACTTCTGGAATGCATTCTTGCTTGTTTTGCATCATAACAATTAATGAATAAATAACGGATCACTATACCCTAATAAAATTAACCATAAAAGAGAGCTTAACCTAAACTTCGGAGTATCATCCAAACCATTTGTGGGGTAGTTTACCCATTCGGGATACAGTTCGTTTATGGCACTTGTTTATTAGGGTATGCCTGTCAGTTTTGATTGAAATGTTTTCCAAAACCATCGATTTTGGAACCGAAAACAGAAAAAAATATTCGGTAGGAATGTTGCGTAACGAATTGCAGGAAATATTTTTTTCAGAAAAGGTTCTGATTTGGTTAAAATCGATTTTTTTTTGTTTTCTGCATACACAATTAATCGCCGTAACTTTTTACTAAATACTTTTACCAGCGAAATCTGTTGCAAAAATCAGCCATGCATTAAAAATGCAATGCTTGTTTGAATGCGTGTTCGGGTTTCAATTAGTCTCTTGAGCCAAACTGCTCCAGATGCTGCAACATTATCATTCATTTTATTTTGTGGTGGTACGAGATTTAATTTCAGTCTACGCTTCGATTTTGAACCTATTGCTGCGAAAATCTCGGATCAGAACAGTTGTTTTGATTTTTCTTCCCCAACAAGATTATTTAGGCTGTGAACCATTTGCCGAGTTAAATTTAACTCGTGGTTAAAAGTGACATTTCGAAAGTTATTTTCTATGTTCGAAAATCCCCGTGCTGTCGATCGACCGGTTTTCGAGCCACGGTTGTCAAAATTTAACTTCTTGTCTGTCAGAAATAACCATGCTCGGATAGCAGGGTTAATCGATAACTTTTCATCTGTCAAATTTTAACCAAAAGTTAAAATAATCCACCAAATGGTTCAGAGCCATAGTAGTTGTTAAGCGATAGGTTCTAAATACGAGCATATGCACATGTTTGATTTAGTTGCTCCTTAACTTAAATAAATGCGATTAAATTCAGAGAATTAATTTCTTTCAGGGGAAAAACTATGGTCTTACTAGGTATGCTATAATTGACTCACCAATCAGGATGTCCTTCAATGAACTGGAACTGTAAGGCTGCACAAAGGCTGTAAGTCAGACATTATGTTTAAGAACGTTATGAATCGTCACTGTTTTCAAAATAAATTTACCAACAAATCTGCAGCCATTTGCACTGCATGCTCGGAGTTGATATTCACCTTCTGCACGATTGGACTGTTCGAAGTGAACTAGAATTTAACGTGGACCGGCTCTCAGCGATCGTTGAAGTGCAAATTCAAACGCAAGTGATAAGCAGAGGCTAAAATGAGATCCGTTCTCGAAATGTATTTTTTATGTGTCCTGGCTGAGATACGTCGTGTGGTTCATATATGGATTGCTGACATGGGTAACACAAACAGGGTTGCCCTATTTAAATCTGTATTTTTTTTTTGATAAAAAACTGTGTCTTCAAGTGCTATTAGTATTTTTTTTAATGAATCAATCAATCGCTCATCCGCCAGAGACTGATTCGGTCAGGGAATCCCAGGGCAAGATCACGAACTCTCACAGATTACGGACAGGAGCAAGACGAGAAGTATAACCAGTCAGATGAAGCTCGCTTCGGGTAAAACCTGAATGATAATCGAAGAAGCAATACTATCATCATCAGCAAGAGTAGTCTGTGCATCGGTGCCCAAAAGAGGGAATCCCCTATAAATGTTCTTGGGCTGCAAATGATTGCGATTTGTCTTGATTTTCTCTTCTACAATTTCGTTATAAGCGACCGTTTCTGATCTCGAGGAGATCTGACGATGCTCGCGTATTGATTATATTAAAGCAAATGTAACTTGATTTGGCTCAATGCTAGTTTTCTTTGGTCGATTCCTCCTCGAGATGCTTGAATCTGTGTTAGATTCAGGAACTAATCAATTTTAATATCAAACGTTTGATAATGTAGCTTATTATAGCATTGCCTCGCAAAACCGTGTGAAATTAAAGTACCTTCGACTGATGATGATGATGATGATGGTCCCACCTCTTACCCCTAAAAAGGTTTGAGCTGGACGATTTATCTTTAAGATAATTAAATATGACATTTTAACCAGGTTGGCAAACAAAATCGAACTGGTTTCAGTTACAGAAATAAATTCCCTCTAGAGTTTACAGTTGCTTCACAGCGATATAAATGTGGAAAAGCTCAGGCGTCCACCTCTTAGTTCGCCTTTTTGTCCACCTAAAATATTCATAAGTATTACAAGCAATCAAGAGTTAATGGACAATCAACAAACCATCCTATTACACTAGCAACTCCACAATCTGATGCTATCATAATTTTCAGCAATGTCAGGAATGCTCACGAACCTCCGACATTTGCCAGAAAACTACTAACTCAAGGTATCTACCAAATAAGCTTCAAAATTGCATTTTATTTTATCAAATGTTAAATTCTGTCCTCTATATCCGTAATACGCGCGCGAGGCTCAAACCTTTGTAGACTACTATTTTTTTTTACTACTACTATTAAATCATATATCAAAAATCCATCATCACCATCGTGGCGAACAAAATAGTTTTTGCAGTGCTACAATAATTATTAAAAAGTCGTTATAACAGCTATCCATACAAAATGATCCGTTAAAAATAACTTCGGTAAGATACATAATTTGTCAATTCATAAAAAAAAAATCACTGGATAACCGTTCAAAAGACAGTTTTAACGTGTGAAATGCAATGTCTCTTAAATTCTGCTAATGTTGTTGAACGTTTAATGTGTCTAGGCATCGAATTGAAAACATTTATTCCTTTGAAAAATAATGAATTCTGTGAAGCACAAGTCAAGAAATGTGGTGTTCTTATTTCATCCGCGTTTCTAGTATTATATCTATGATAGTCACTTCCTCTTTCAATTCGATCACACAAATATCGAGGTAGCAAACCGTTAACTACTTTAAAAATGAAAACCATAGTCAAATATACAATTCTTTGCTTCACCGACAACCATTGTAAGGCGTCTAACATCAAAGTTGAGGAAGTGAATCTATTACATCTCAAAATCAAACGCATTATTTTATTCTGCAAGCGCTGTAATCTCGATATTTGTGTTGCATTGGACAGAAATAAAATGGAAGGGCAAAAGTCTAGATGAGGAGAGATGATTGATTTGTATAGCTGTATTTTACTGGCAATAGTTAAATCGTTTTTCAATCGACATAGAATTCCATACTTCTTGGCAATTTTCTTGATGACATTGTCAATGTGAGAGTTGAACTTAAGTTTGTCATCAATAATCACGCCAAGATATTTAATCTCCTGAACGCGATCAATAGTCTCATCATCAATTACAACAGAGACGTTCTCATTTAATCGATTCCGCGAAATCACCATAAATTTAGTTTTACTTGTATTCAATTTTAACTGCTTACACTTCAACCATCTACTTAGATACTGCAAATCTTCATTCAAGTGTGAGACGGCAACTTCTAAATCCTTAGCTGCAATGAATAACACAGTATCATCTGCAAAAAGATTAATGTCGCAAAACCGTAAAACACGTCGCAAGTCATTAATATACATAATAAATAAAAGAGGCCCTAATACACTTCCCTGGGGCACTCCAAGGTTGTTCCCCACAGGACTGGAAACAGAATCATTAAAAACAGTCCGTTGAGTTCTGTCAGACAAATAGCTTTCAAACCATTTATATGCAGTACTCGTAATTCCAAAGCGCTTGATTGTACTTAACAGTAAGGGCCTAGAAATTGTTTCAAAAGCGCGTTTCAGATCCAAAAAAACAGCAACAATCGTATCTTTACGCTCCAAGTTGTCTTTCCACTTTGCTAACACCAAATTCAATGCAGTTTCACAAGAATGCCCTTCCCGATATCCCGATTGTTCTGGTATCAACAAAGAGTTGCTATTCAAATACTCCAACAGCTGGCCTTTAACAACAAGTTCTAAGATTTTCTCTAATGTGTGCAACATGTTGATGGGACGAAACTCTTCGGCTTTAATCGTTCCAGCAACTTGTTGAATAGGAATCACTAAGGATTCCTTCCAAATTTGTGGCACATGTCCATTCAGCAATGATTCATTAATAAGGTCCAGAAAGATGTGGCCAATGACATGAAAGCAATCTTGAATAACTCTAGCATTAACATTATCATTAACATTAACAAATAACTCTAAGTTCATCTAATGTGATTGGGTGAAAAACTTCAAATCTGCAACTACTATTAACTGGCTGTTTTATTTCGTCAGGTTCATCGACCAATTCAATAGATTGATTAATCAATGAAACGCTATCTACGGAATAATCATTAAACTTAGCTGCAATTACTTGTTCTGACTGTTTTAAAAGTTATGGACCGCGGTTTGCAATTACTAGGTTTTAATAAAGATTTCAAAATTTTCCATAACTCTTTGCTTTTTTTTTTTTTTAATCTTTATTTTAGAGATTTTTAGCCTGAGGCTAGTTCATCTCTGATAACTCTTTGCTGTTGTTTTGATGCTGATCAATCTTCCTTTGAACATATTCACAACGAGTTTTCTTTATCGATTGTGAATACTTATTACGCGCGATTGTGTACCTAGTCCAATGATTGTCGTTATTAGATCTACAAAACTTTTTGTACAATTTGTCCCTTTTCCGTTTAAGACGCAAAAGATCCAAATTGTACCAGCTGTTCGAGTTTTTCAAAGAAACAAACTTTTGCTCAACTAGTTGATTGGTACACGTTTTCAAAGCGTTATTAAGAACAGCTGTAGATTCATCTAAGTTACCGTCCGCGAATGGAAAATCCAGGCTTCTCTCAACAAGGTTGGAGACAGCTTGCTTCGAATATTTCCTCCAGCACTTCAATTTTACAAAATTATCGTTATCGTTAACATGGTCTAAGACATTAATCACTAAAGTTTCATGATCGGTTATTTTCAAATCAGTATCCGTAACTGAACAAATGGAATCAAAATTGGAATAAACGTGGTCAATTAAAGTTCTACTGTGCCTAGAAATACGCGTATATTCATTAACCGTTTGCTTTAAATTAAAAAACTCAGCTAAACGCTTCAAATGATTCGAATTATGGTTATCACGCCAATTAATATTAAAATCACCAGCCAATATATTTAATTTACTAGAATCAAGGAATGCCTCGAGCCAGTTCTCTAAAACTTCAACAAAACGCTGGTCACTAGAACTGGGAGAATGATACAAAACACCATAATTACCCGTCTTCATGCCACGTACAACTGTAATGCCCAAGAACCAGTTGCCATCAATAACTTCGTTGGTACGAAGGTTGAATTGAACTGATTCTTTGACATAAATAGCAACACCGCCAGTGTGTCTAGAATGTGATAAACAAGCAGCAACAATATATCCCGGAATACTATACTGATCAAAAGGTTCAGTTTCTACAATATGAGTTTCAGATAATAAAACTAAAAGAGGACGTTTTTCCTCAACAATCTGACGTAATGCTACGTAGTTTGTTGACAACCCCGCAATATTCAAATATAAAAAATCGAATTGATTCACATTCCTGGAACTTGGCTGCTATTTATTGAAACGCAAGCTGCTTTTCTTCTGATCAAAAAGTCTTTTATAGAGCAAACATTCCGAGCTAAATGCGGCATGGTTGACGTCCAAGTTCATTTTTCGTTCTTTATTCATTTTCAAACAATTAATACATTTCAATACAGTTGACGTAAACTCCGACGTTTTGTGTTGTTGGCTGCACCTAGAGCATCTATCACAATTTTTGCAATCCATGCTCTTGTGTCCAAATTTTCCACATTTGAAGCATCTCAACACATTAATCGCGGGAACTATCGAGCACCGATCAAACCCTACATTTACTTTTTTCGCACATAACAAACATTTATAAGTTTCGACATCGACTTCAATTACAACACTAAACTTGTTATAAGTGAAGCGTGGATTTTCAAACATGTTCACTACTTTTACATCATTAATAGCGATGTCTTCATTTTGACTTTTTAAGTAGTCAATAAAGACATCGGAGGAAAACTGATCGCTCATGCTAACTATTTTCAATCTTGGCACCGAAGTGGGAACAACAGCACTATATTTTTCACCCAGCTTGCTTTCAATACCATTTTTTACATCACTTACGTTTGCTCCTGTTGCACACTCAACAATAATGGAGCCATCTTTACCATTCCTAAAATTACTGATTTTGTGTGTTTTTGGATCCAACTGAGTTTTCAAAAACTTACGAGTATCTTCGCAAGGTTGTTT